GCCTGCTTTCTTTCAAGTGTTTTGTAACGATTAGTGGAATGATTTTATTTTCTACATGTACGGTTAGTTTTACATATTATTTTATGCTATGTTATTTCTATTCTAGTTACTCTATATCACCAACATCACTGAAGGTTCTTCTCTCCCCTGAGAAGCAGCTAGCTTTGGAAAGATGGGGCAGGAGAATCGGAGGTTAAATGTAGATGATGATCCAGCCCAGTTTATGCCAAGAACTGCTCCTGAATGGGACCCAAATTTAGATGCTGGGAGGGCTATGATTAAACAGTGTCAACAATTGATTTTATATGGGATATGGTGTGGGGTATGTAAGCAAAAGAACATTTCAAAGCTATATGTTCTATGGGAAGGACTTACTGAGAATCCTTCTACCTCCTATGAGAGGATATGTGAGGCAGCCAGGAAATGAACAGACTTGAATCCAGAGGATAAAAAGAATTTTGAGTTTTTCAATACTCTTTTTGTTGGACAGTCTGCTTCAGATATATAAAGAAAGCTTCAAGAAAAAAAGGATCTGGGGGCATGCCTGTCTCTCGGCTAATTGAGATAGCTTATAAGGTCTGCAATAACTGAGAGGGTGATAAAGAGGAGAAAAAGTGTAAGGACTGAAAGCTGCAACCAAGTGTGATAGCAACGGGGGATTGTTAGAGGGGATTGTTAGAGGGAGTTTAGTTGAGAAAACAGAAGAGGGGGAGGCAGGGGATATGAAGGCTGGGGATGGGTTATGGGTGGTCTAAACCTTCAAGCAAGAAAAGGTTAGAAGCTATTCAATCAGACTGACAGGGAGCAGGGGATGTTCATTTTTTCTGTTTTTCCAGCCAAGCCCTTGGTTCCAGTACAGCTGGGGAATGAAACAATTGATTTCCTATTAAACACTGGGGCCACCCATTTGGTCATAACTGGTAAGACACCCTTAAGAAAAACCTATATGCCCATAGTTGGGGTCACAGGAAAGTGAGCCCTAAAACCATTTTGAAATGAATGGCATATAAAATTGGAGAAAAGATGGTAAGTCATGAATGTATATGCCAGAGTGTACAGTTCCTCTCCTAGGAAGAGATTTGTTATGCAAGTTAAGAGCAAAAATATAACTTTCTATGAAAAGTCCATACAGCTACAGCTCCCTAAAGAGACTGCCTGGAAGTTGCAGCTCTGCCTAATGACTGAAAAGCAACTAGACAAAATAACATCCCCAAGGAAAATGCTGAATGCTGTGATACCTGCAGTGTGGGCAACTGAACAACCTTGTAAGAGCGCAAAACACAACCCTGGTACAAGTTGATTTAAAGCCAGGATCCCAGTTGGTAAGAAAGAAACAATACTCTATAAAACTGGGCTTAGAACAAATGATAAATTACTTTTTTCAGTATGGACTTTTGCGAGAGTGTCAATCTGAATATAACACTCCCATCCTGCCAATTAAGAAACCTCACACACAGGAATATAGGTTGGTACAGGAGCTGAGGGAAATTAACCAAATTGTGGTTGATGTACATCCAGTGGTTCCAAATCCATGTACACATGTTGTCCTTCCTGCCTGACCATAATGTTTATTTTACAGTACTAGATTTAAAAGTTGCCTTCTTTTGTATACCCTTGGAAAAGGAGAGTCAGCAACTGTTTGCCATTGAAAGGAAAAGCCCAGCAACAGGAAGGAAAATTCAGCTGTGCTGGGCTGTGCTGCCCCAGGGATTCAAAACCAGCCCTACACTGTTCAGTAGTGGACTGGCAGGGGAACTGGAAGGTTGGCCCATCACGTTACTACAGTATGTAGGTGATATCTTGGCTGGGAGCCCCTTCAGAAGCAGAATGTCAAGCAGCCACCATCAGTCTGCTAAATTTTCTTGGACTTGTGGGGTATCAGGTGTTGCAGCAGAAGGGTCAGATTGCTCAGACAACAGTGGAATATTTGGTTCAGTAGTGGACTGGCAGGGGAACTGGAAGGTTGGCCCATCACGTTACTACAGTATGTAGGTGATATCTTGGCTGGGAGCCCCTTCAGAAGCAGAATGTCAAGCAGCCACCATCAGTCTGCTAAATTTTCTTGGACTTGTGGGGTATCAGGTGTTGCAGCAGAAGGGTCAGATTGCTCAGACAACAGTGGAATATTTGGGCTTTGAAATTTCACAGGGTGAGAGAAGGTTGGTAATGTTTTTGTGTCTTTAAAAAGTTTTATTCTCTCAGATGTCTATTCCCAATTAGTAACTTTGTATTCAAGTGTGTTGTAGTTAAAGGTGGTGCCGGTGCCACATATTGGTCTATTTACAGTTTCCACCCTTCCTATTCTAGTTGAGAACAATAAAAGCTCGGGGCAGCCCCTGGACAAAGTCTTCTCCCTTGCCACATGCCCCATTGCGACACAGTCAAGGCAGGGTGCCAGAGCTGGTGTTTGTTAAGGTGGCTCTGCAGGGCGCAGAGATCCTGGCGTGCAGAGGCACAGCCACCCAAGCTCTGATCCTTCTGTGTGTGCTGGGAGCAGAGAGCGTGTCGAAGCACGCACGTCGTGACAGATTCCCCTGGAGAGTCTGCCGACACCTCGCTAACTTAGCGTCGTGATAGTGTTCACTTGTGATAGTGGCATATGTATGGATCATTTGCTGGGGAAAATGATGGATTGAATGATGAATTTATGTTCATTTTTAATTAGATATTTTTTCCTCAGTAGAAGAACTCTTTAAGAGTTTTAGGGCTGGACTGGTAAAATGTGGTTTGAAGAAACTCCTGCTTTGGAGGATAGTGCCAGTCTCCAGACTGCAGTATTTTGTGGTTTGGGGGACTGTGGTGTTTGTGTATTTAGCTTGGCGTGTTGCGGAACATTCCTGTGCAGCTGGCTGGGTGCTGAACTGGAGTGGTCTATAGTGATCCCAAATATTAAAAGAAAGGTGAATCGAGCTGTGTGTGTCTTGTGCCAGGTTTACTGAGGATTTACACTTCCTGGGAAAGTGGAACGAGGGCGGTACCAGCTCAGTCAATAAAAGCAGATATCTGCCTTTTGAGAGGTGTGTGTCACTGGAGGAGTTCAGCCACTGACTGAGTCGGGTGCAGAAGGTTATTTGCTACCCTTGTCAGCAGAAGATAGTTTTCCACCTGTCTTCTGTAAGTATAAACTTCTCTTTCTTTGCCCTTTTTGATGTGCTTGCTTATAGGAAGGAAAAAGGGGCTGTGAGGGTAAAATTAATGCAAGTAATTTGTTTCCATCTTGTGTGGAAAGTACTGGTGACAGTGTTCTCTCAATTCCAACCTCTCAGCCTGGCAACTGGAGATGTGTTTTCCTTTCAGCATACGGGATGTCATGGAAAGAGGTCTTTCTTGCCTTTGTATTTCTCACATGCACTTTGTTTCAAGCTTGTGGAAGTTTAGATTCAGTATTTAACCTCATGTAATCATGGTAAAAGAGTAAGTTTAAGTGTTTTATTTTTTTCCTTACAGGATTTTTTTCTCTCCTTAAAACAGTGGATTTTCCCTCCTCAGCTATTTTAGAGTGGAAGCCGTACATCTTGCTGGGGCTGGCTTCCTACAGAAGAGATGGCTGCTGGCAGGCAGGGGGGTCTGGCAGGTTGCAGGAAGCTCTGGGCAGTGTAGGCAAGGAGGGGGCTTTTCAGACATTTTCTTGATCTGACAATACTGCCACAGGATGCAGGTAGGGGCTGTCCTGTGTGATGGCACATTATCAAGATACTATTCTGCTTCATGAAGTTGAAAGCACTCACCGTGAGCAGCCCATCAGTGTTGGGCATCTCTTTGACAGGCACTCTTTGGCTGTGCTGTTAGTCGTGCAGGATGGTGACTGCCAAGGTGTGGGTTCTGAAGAAGCATTTTGAGGGTCTCCCCAAACCCAGTGACTTTGACCTGAAAAAGATAGAGCTGCCAAACCTAAAGGATGGAGGTAAGTGAAGTGCCATCTGTATTTATGTTTCTCTGGAGGTTGTCAGATTGGTGGTGAATGGCTGTGCGTTTGTAGCACAGTTTCTATGTTTCTCTGTCTTGGATTTGCCAAACTGCGTTAGCATGGTTTGTGGCAAGCCATGCACCTTAGCAGAGAAGGGTGATTGCTCAAGAACGTGTATGCTGATGCCTTTGACGGGTTTTAAGCCACAACACCCTTAGAAACAGTGGCTGAGCTCTTCTAACTCCAGCGTGCGGGAGCTCTGGCATGTATTTCACAGTCTCACAGTACCTAAGGACGTGTGGTGCCTCATGGCAAAGGCATATAAAAATGTTTGCAAATAAAGCTTCCTGGAGAAAATCACTGAAGTGATATGCCCTTGAAACCAAGAGCCGCAAGGAAAGAGAATTCGTTTAATTTAGAAAGACAGAAGTGAACCGTAACACAGAGCAAATGAGACAACTGTAGCAAAACTCAAACATTCTTCGTTAGTGAAAGTTTTCCAACTACTTTATTTTGCAGAATCCGTTGGAGAAAGCTAGAGAGAACATGGTAGCCTCTAGGAGTAGGTTTTCGCTGGAGTTTTTCATGCTGATAGGGAACATATTGTAGACAGTGCACAGGGAGAGCAAAGTGACTGTGTGGTAGTGAGCCTGCAGCTGTGAGGCGTTGGGGCTGGAGTCAGTGCAATCTGGTCTTTCATTTTAAAATGCAAGCAAGAGGAGGCAAGACTTCTGTCTGTTTTCAACATCTTTTTTTTTGCCAGTGCTTATCTGTTGTATTTGACTTATTGTGATAGCAAGAGAATAGACTGAATAAAAAGAGGAGAAAACATGCTGGTTTTATTTCCATCTGTTTTGGAAAGGGTAGGGACTATGATAACTTACTATATGCAAGAGGTGTTAATAAAAGATTGAACCCTGATTTTTGGCTTCACATGGACATCTGTACCATGCTGATTGAACCTTACCCCACTACCTGTATTTAAAAAATTTACCTCAGTTTAGAAGGTGTGCCAAAGAAATTGCATGAACGTACTAGTTATGTTTGCAACTTGAAGGTTTGAAAGGTGATTTCTTCTTAAATAAACTTTCAACTGCTTTATGTAGCATGTGTACTTATACAGCATTCAGACACACTTAAAAATTTCATGCCTGTGGGTAGTTAAGAACATGGAATTTTCTTCCTTCTCATTTTAATCTTTACAGCGAGAAGAGGCATAGCTTCATACTAGAGTAACACTTTTCAAGGAGACAGCATTTCTTGTTGTGTTACGTGCCCTTGACTATTCTTCCTGCTCACTTTGAGTAATGGGAAGATATTTATATCTGAATATATTTCCAGCTTGTTCTAGCCAGACCACCGCAATACAATGAAAAGTATTATTAGGTAGAGATGAACAGCTAAAACTGTTAATTCAGATGAATGAGAATTTAAATTAAAATTTGTTCAACAGTATATTTCACAAGAACTAGTGGCATTGGAGACAGCAAAGTGGATTAGGCTACCTGGAAAAGATAGCCTCCTACTCTCTGTTTAAGGCAGCAGAGTAGTGTTTGTATTTGACCTGTGCCAAGGTTTTGTCCCACCCCCTCTACTGGTTGAACTGTGCGAAGGCATTTTATATGTGGGTTGAAAGTAAGTTACTGGGTTTTGTTAGTGTACCGGGGCTCTTGAGCCTTCTGTGGAGAGAAGAGGCAGCTAAACAGGACTGAGGAGAAGCTGGCCTTCTCAAGAGACACTACAGAAAGTGGCTTGTAACAGCACAGTGATAATCCAGACAAAGTTCACAAATGTAGTAGTTGTTTCTGGTTGGCTTTCCCTAAAGGATGATGGGATATGGGGTTTTTGAGCTGTCAGCAATTCCTGTCCCTTTTGTTGAAAGACTGATTTGTGGAAACTATGCTTTACTGCACTGCTGATTTGCTTTGTCTTTTGTTACAGAGTTGCTGCTTGAATCAGTGTTTCTCAGTGTTGATCCTTACATGAGGTATGTCTGTTTCTTCTTTTTAAATTGCTGGCTAAGGTTCCTTACTTGATGTCTGACTTAATCCTCAAAAGAACATGTACTTGCAGCACTCCTTTTGCCAGGGTCCCAGATGCCATTGTCTGTGTTTTATAAAACATCTGTCAATGACAAGACTCCCAATACGGGTCTGTGGCGGATTTAGCCAGGTACCAGCATAATGATGCTGCAGCCTTGTCTTTTTTTGGACTCCGCTGTTTTTCCTTGTCATGTCTCTTCCATTGGAATCCAAAAGGCTCAAATGAGACTACAGCCTTGTTGCAGGAGCTGCTTCACTTATATTAGCAATCTCATACTTAAGGACAGGTATTCTAAGTAGGAAATTGCTGATATGCCCATGCTAATAGGTGGTAGTTCAAGCACAAGGAGACTGGGTAATTTGAAGAAGCCAGGTGGACCCTGGTGTCAGAGATAGTTCTTTGGAGTTTCAGCCTTCCTGTAGTGGTGGACCGTGCTGGGAAGGTTTGTGCTGTAGTGTCCCCAGCTCTCTAGCCCAGTGCTCAGTTCAGATGGGATGCTGCAGTAGCTGTCAGCGGAAAACATCGAGTTATGTCATTACAATGACAGGCTCTCTGCAGTCTGTTCAGTGTTGCTGCATATGCTCTTTCTGGGTCAGACAGTAACTATAGCTTCATAGTGTGTCTGGAACATCTGTTAACGTTGCTTAACCCATCTCTGCCTGTGTTACAGACCTTACAGTCAAAGGGACATGAAGGAAGGTGACATAATGATAGGCACACAGGTTGCCAGGTAAGATCTTATTCTTGTTACCCATATACATTGCAGATCTCCAAGGAATGTACTGACAGTTGAGACATCTGCAGCCTGCATTACCTATTCTTGACTTGGGGCTATATCTGGAATTGGTTGGAATGTGTTTTTCCTCTAAGAACCTTTGCCTCTGTATGTTATTTCTGGCAATAATGTTTTAAAAAAAAAAAAAATACAAGCAGAGGTTGACCACTGCACTTGCCTTAAGTGTCAACGTCACATTTTGAAGTATGATGTGCTAGTAGTTGCATGCCTGAAACCGTGCTTGGTATCTAACCATCTGAGAACACTTCAGTGCCATAGAAGATACAGCTCTAGGCAGAGGGTTATGTAACGTTGTATCCCTCCTTTCTCAGGCTTGTGGTCATTTAGCTACACAGATGTTTCCCTTTGTCAGCTTGTTCGGGCTGTGCTGCCTGTAGTTTTCTGCCCAGGAACATCTGTGGCCTTTGACTCTTGTGTTCCTCTGGAGGAACACTGAGCGCTGGGATAAATTAACAAGCGAGTCTGCTGCACAGGAGGCCAAATGTTTCCAGTATTTCCAAGCTGCTTACCTACTATATGTTAACATAGTTTTCCCATTGGGCTAAGAAAGTTGAATTTTCTTTTGGCATAGAGACAGCACAAGCATGAACTTCTCCCTTTTATTAGGGATTGCTTTCTGTCTGGTTTTGTTACCCTAAGAGGTTCCACCTTCAGGATCTCCAACCTATGAAGGAGGTGTAGGTTGTCTGAGAAGGGAAGTACTTGTTACAACCTGTCTGTGACTTCTTGCTTTTCCACCTTTTAATCCCAGCATCCTCTTTCCTGCCTTCTCACTCACAGAAGCCTGGTGTGAGTTCATTAGTCAAAAAGAAGTCAGCAGCCATGTGGGATCATTTGATTTGTTGTGAGCAGGGCTGAGTCTAGAATCATCTTGCCCAGTAGGTCCCCAGTTATTGGAGATTGTAGACATGCCAGGGAAGGCACCAGAAGCCTACACCATCAGTAGGTATGGGCTAAATGTCCTGACATGAAATATTTCTTTCTTCTGTGTCACAGGGCAACAGGAATAAAGGATGGAAGAGCCCTCTGACACGGTGTTCTCTTATTTTTGGTTTTTTTTTCATTTGTTTATTTGTTTTTTATACTTTTAAACAGGATTGTGGAAAGCAAGAATCCTGCTTTCACAGTGGGAGCCTTTGTTGTGGCTAGAGGTGGCTGGAGAACTCATTTCATCTCTGATGGGAAAGATCTGAAATTCCTTCCTTCCAGTTGGCCAGAACCACTCCCCAAGTCTCTGGCTCTTGGGACAGTTGGCATGCCAGGGTGAGTTTCAAGAAGCAAATGTAAATGTCCCCTGGATTTTGTTGTGCAGGATGTTTCTGCCTATCTGTATGACCTTTTTATGTATCTGTATGACCTTTTTCCCTTATCTTGTGCTACCAGCATGTTGTCTGCTCACTCTGGTAGAAAAGTGTACTTCCAGATGTGCTTACCCTGTAGAGGAGCTGAAGTTTGGCTCATCTTCTAGATCAGAGGATATTTGCCTTGGAGGTGATGATGCCTCTTCATGAGGAGTTGTAATAAGGTAGAAGGAGGATCCAGGAGGGACTGGAAAGGATCCAGTTCAATTTCAGTGGAAAGATTCAAAATTCACTGCCTCCTGGAGTAGTCTGCTTTGGTTGATTGGTCTCTTCTGCTATCACTCTCTTCCCAGCTGTCATATCGTGCAGCAAAGTGTAGAGGTCCTTTAAGTTGCACTGCAGCAAAAAGTTTTGCCACCATTTTTTTATTTTTCTGCCAGCTTTGGTGTGTGATGAGTATCATTTAATGTTTGCCTTGATCTGTCTGGTAGATACCAGCTGGTTACTGACCTCTGCCTAACTTGGATTTACTGTCTCAGAATTCTAGTGTGTAACTGAGTTGTCACCTTACAGAGTTATCTCTGTGTTTCTCCTTTTGGCTAGTGAACACAAGGAAAGCTGTTTTCACCTCAGGTGGAATTCTGCCATAGCATCCTGTTCTCCAGTACTTTATCTGTTTTTTTTTCCTGGGATGCCTGTGAAAAGCCGAATAAAGAAGTTTGGGTTGATTTTTGTATTTCATAAAGAATGATGAAAACTGAATGTTGTGAATGCTTGTGACTGTAAGTTGGTCCAGTCTGATCAAGACACATCTCTGTGTCTGGCATCTTTTATTCATCACTGACCATTCTTTGTTTTTCTTCACAGCCTCACTGCGTATTTTGGCCTGCTGGAGGTCTGCAAGATGAAGCCAGGAGACACAGTGCTGGTTAATGCTGCAGCTGGTGCTGTGGGCTCTGTGGTGGGCCAGCTCGCTAAAATTGGGGTGAGTGGCTTGAACTGCTCATACTTGCTCCTCAGAATTCTCACCTTGAAGACAGGGGAACAAGGCCAGGAGTGATCAGGAGGGAAGCATCCCTGAAGGGGTGTCTACAGTAAGGTCTTGAGATGGGACAGGCCCCTGCAGGTGGGGCAGAGCTGGGTGAACGTTTCTATAGCTCAGGGGAAGTCACATGGTGATGACAGCCTGACTTTAGGGGTGAGCCCTCTGTGAGGGTGCTTGTGAGGTGAGGGGGTATTCAGAAACGTTTTTCTCCTTCCCTTGCAGGGCTGCAAAGTGGTTGGCTGTGCTGGCTCAGATAACAAGGTTGCCTATCTGAAAAAAATAGGCTTTGATGAAGCCTTTAATTACAAGACTGTTACATCTCTGGATGAAGCACTGCGTAAAGCCTCTCCTGATGGCTATGAGTGTTTCTTTGACAACGTGAGTTCAGAGAGAGGGCCTTGCCCTCAGCATGACTGTCATTTTCCTTAAACTATAATAGCAGCTCAATATTGTGTACATCTAATTGAAGACTACAGCAGGAACTTGATAGTGAACTCCATCTAATTGAAAAACTGGCTTACTGAAAAGAGCTTATTGCTTTCCTGTTCCCTTCACACACCTCTGCAGCTGATGTGGGCAGTAGCGGGAAGAACAAAAACAAAAGCAAAGCTGGATTGTTGGCAGAGTCTGTGAATGGAGAGAGAGAAGTTCACCTTCACTCTCTGGAAAGTATGGCACGTTTTGTGGAGGTGAGGGTCACAGTGAGCATTTAACTAGTGCTGTCAGAGAGAACTCCAGTCCATTCTTGGTGCCACCCTGGACCACAGGAAGCCTTCTGCTGTTGTTGGAACAGGAGCAATCATGGATGGCCCCATGTTACATGGTCCAGGTGGTGCCACTGGTACCTCTAAACAAAACAGTTGCAAGGTCCATGTGTAAAATTGCTGGAGTGGCCCACTGAGGGTTTCTGACCTCTCCCAAGAACAGCTGAAGTTAATGAGAGGTGTGGACTGTTCTTGGTAGGCTATTTGAATGTGACCACCTTGTTTTGAAGGCTAAGAGAGTTTTATCAGTACAGGCGCAGTCAAACCATGTCAGTTTGCCTTCAAGCCAGAGAACAAGCCATGGCATTTTGAATTTCCTAGTGTAGCTAACATATGCATTGTACACAATAGTATCATACCTGACACAAGGGTATTAGCTGAGATATGGGCCTGAAACTCCCTGGCCAGCTACCTGGTGTAAAGGTCATCCATGGTCACCCCTGTAGCAGGCCTTTCTCTGAGCAGCCTGTCCTGTGGCCCGGGGATCCCTGGGCAGCCCTGTCTCCCTGTGTGGGCCGTGGGGCGCCCACCTCGCCCTGGCAGGCGATGGGAATGCGTGGTGCCAGGGCAGAGTGCTCACCCGTGTGGCAGGAGCTCCTGACTGCTTTGCCTTACCCTTCCAAATTTCATGTCCTGTGCTGCCAAGTCTTAAATAGGTTTTATGGTCATATCCATTCCCTTCCCTCTCACTTCCCACTTTTGTGCAGAAAATTTTCAGCAGTGAATTTTCTCAGAGTTTTTCTCCAGTAAAAGCTGCTGAGCACAGCACATGCCTATCTGGGAGAAGAGACTCAAGTGAAAACTTGACATCACCATGATGTGAAGAGGTAAAAGTACAGACTAGCATGGGAGAAAACCAGAGGTGATGCTTCTTAGTGCCCCTAGACATGCCCATTAGGAAGGATCTAAGGGCAAGTCCTGCCCAACACTTCTAAACCAAGCTTTGTGAAGCAGATTTGGAATTAAAAATGATTCCCTGTGTTCATAACTAATTTTTAAATGAGTGAGATCAAGTCTTCTTAAGGTGCTGAAGGGTTTCTGCAGCCACTAAGTCTTTAGAGTAGTGGAGCTCACCTCTCCACTCCTTGATTGAACCCCTTGGTGCAACAATGCAAGGTTGCCAGGTTTTGGCGGTCGGTGCCAAACAGTGGATTGTCACTAATGCTGCACATGATGGTTCTTGTAGGTGGGTGGAGAATTTGCCAGTATTGCTATCAACCACATGAAGAAATATGGACGGATTGCAGTCTGTGGAGCCATCTCTCAGTACAACAACTCTGTGCCTCAGAGAGGTGTGGGCCTTCTTTCTTATGTCTATTTCCCATTTGGTGATGGCAGAGATGAAGGCATAATAGGAGTCTTGTGAGATTTTTTTTGGTTGTCTCTGTCTGCCATTTGAGCGTGTACGTATGTGTATAGATTCGGGAGCGAACTGCTGCTCTGAGGCAGCAGGGGGGTGGCCACACTCCGTGTGTGTGTAGGCACTCATCCTCCTTGGTGCACACTCGTACTGCCTGGAGAATTTCAGCTGGTTAGCAGTGGAGACTAAACTACTTGGAGCAGGAATACCCCAGGGCTGCACGCAGACGGAGATCAGCAGAAGGCAGGTGTGGTGGCATGCTGCCATGCACACAGTACATACTTTCAGAGGAGAGAATGGATTTCCCTCAGGTTTTTAGATGATGTAACTTAGGGTTTTTACTTGTCTGGTTGGGTGGTCTGTTGTTTTTTTTTTTTTTTATTCCATTAAGGTTTTGGCTACTGGTGAAACTGCTGGGAAATGTAGCTGAGATGAATATTGACTTTCAACAGCATTAAGTTTTTCAAATTTGCCTTCTAGAAGAAATGGGAGTTCTGAATTCTCTGCGACAACTGACTGGCTTTGGACTTCTAGATCACTTTAAAAATGGGACAAGCTTTTGAGAGTGGGGAGACTATCACACATTTTTATGATTGAAGGAACTGGTTTTTAATATGTGTAGCTTCTCTGATATTTAGGAAGGGCATGAGAGCTTGGCAAGCTATCAAACAAGCTGTCAAAACAGCATCTCTGGGATTCAGCTGAAGCTGAAGGTCCCTTTACTTCTGAATGAAACTGTTTTCAGAAGTGTTTGGTGTTTAGCCCCAGAGCTTTACAGATCAGACCTTTGTTTCCTTGGGTGGCTGTTTTAAAAATATCAGTTACTTTTGACTGGTACAAAGTAATGCAGTGGTCTTTACAGGCTAAAAGCTCTCTTCAGGCATTGGGTGTTACTTTCCATGAAGCTAATGCTGCAGGTGGTTTGCTGCTCCCTTTCTCTGGCAGGGCCTTACGTTCAGATTCCGATGATCTTTAAGGAGCTTCGCATGGAAGGGTTTATTGTGACTCGCTGGGACCACCGCTGGGAGGAAGGTCTGGCAGCGCTGCTGAAGTGGGTCGTGGAGGTAAGGAAGGAAGGGGTGGTCTTCCCTAACGTGTACTCACACCATACCTTTCCTATCTGCAAAGGGTCTCTTGTCATAGATGTTGAGGCGAGGTCCCATTCCTTCCTTCTAACTTGATCTTTGAGCTTTCTGGGGATGCTCAAACCACAGGGAACATGCCTGATCCCTTCTGCTTTGTTGAGACCTGCAACATTACCTTGTGGACTTAGGTATATTTCAGAATACTTGTAGGCTCTGAAAAAGGATGGTTCCAGAGTAATTCACAACACTCCTCTGGCAAAGAAAAGCTTTGTATTTGGAGTGATTCCTCTGCTTCTCATTCAGAAGTCTCATTTGTAGTATGAGTAAGGATTTCCATTGCAGTTTTGTGCTGAAATTTCCAGCAAGAATGGGTATTTTTACTGGACTTTAAAGGGACTCAATAGGAAATCTCTTTACATTTATTTTTCTAAATGGAGGCCGAGTTTAACACTCGGTTCATGGCTATGGAAAGCTTGTGAATGTGGACACCAAATGCTAAGAGGGTCTAAGCTTTTACAAATACAAGGATTCAGGATGGCTCAGCTTTCGATCACTTGGATTTGCAATTCCATACTTCTCTATGGGTAGAGGCAGGCCTGGCTTGGGGAAGTAGTCACCTGCCTGCCCATTGTTCAGGGGCCAAGTAGCACTAAGTCTGTCCTGGTGTGTTTTTGCAGCAGTGATTTTTGCTTCCTGTTATGACTCCCAAGTAGAAGCTCTTGTTATAAAAGCAGGTCCTTACCACAGCCTACCTTGTTTTGCAGATTTCCAGTGAAACATGCAAGCTGCAGAAAATCTGGTTGCAGTTTAGTCTCCTGAAGGTCATAGAATTATTTAGGTTGTAAAAGACCATCAAGATAATTGAATCCCCCTGCAAACCTAACACCACCAAGTCCACCAATAAACCATGTCCTAAGTGCCATATCTACACGTCTTTTAAATACCTCCTGGGTTGGTGAATCAACTGCTTCCTTGAGCAGCCTGTTTCAGTGCTTGACAACCTTTTCAGTGAAGGAATTTTTCCTAATGAATAATCTGAATGTACCCTAGCACAACTTGAGGCCATTTCCTCTTGTTCTATCAGTTGATACTTGGTAGAAGAGACCGATCTGCACCTCACTACAATCTCCTTTCAGGTAGTTCTAGAGAGTGATAAGGTCTCCCCTGAGTCTTCTTTTCTCCAGGCTAAACAACCAGTTAGCTCCTCCACACAGGATTTGTTCTCTCGAACCCTCACAGTCTTCACTGCCCTTCTTTGGACATGCTCCAGGACCTCAGTGTCTTTCTGGTAGTGAGGGCCCCAAAACTGAACCCAGTATTTGAGCTGTGGCCTCAATAGTGCCGAGTACAGGGGGACAATGTTAAAACTAGGAAGCTGGTGCATGAAAACTCAGCAATTTCCTTTCTTCCTTTTGACAGGGAAAACTCAAGTACCATGAACAAGTCACTGAAGGATTTGAGAACATGCCAGCAGCTTTCATTGGAATGTTAAAGGGAGAAAACCTTGGAAAAGCCATTGTAAAAGTCTGAAAGCCACATGTTCCTGGGAGACTGGTGCAGGAGAAGGTGATAACTGCTCTTACTAACTGGACTAATAAGTGTAAGTGTAGACCGGTGGCTTTACTCTTGAAGAACGTGAGAGTTGCTTCACAAAGCTACACCAAAAAAAAAAAAAAAAGCCTTAAAATAACTCCTCAGAACTGTAACAGATTTAATAGTAGCTTGAACATTTCTATGAGTTGGCTTGTAGGGAGAAAAATCAGTTCCAAAAGATTTGCTAGCTGATGGCACATTTGATGGCTGATGTTTAGCTATTGATTTGGCCCAGAACATTTCAAGTGGGATTTTTTGTTAACCAATATCAAGGAGCAAAGAACAGGCTAAGAACACTAGGGGTTTCCAGCTTCCTCACTGTCTGGTTGTGGTTTTGGGTGGTGGTTTTATTTTTTTTGTTGGTTGTTTTGGTTTTTGTTTTGGTTTTTTAAACTTTAATCATGAAAAGTAGGTATCTCATTCATTGACTCTGAAATTAAGGAAGGAAAAAATAAATCTGTTAATGGATACTTTGCTTGTGTTATATTTCTGTTTGTGGAATACCATCTTCTTCACTTCCTTGCAGTTAAAAGCGTGGCTGAAATATTAGAAGCACTTGCCTATCCCAGCATATCTCACAGTACAGGTGCTATGGATAAGTCACTTATTTCCTTGAGGAATTTGGCCATTGGTGTCCAATGTTAGAGCTGACTTTGCTATGATGTTCACCTGTTCACCCCAGCCTGCCTGGAAGATGAGATCAGTTTGCTGGCCCTGGCTGTGTTAAAGTAGTGTCCTGGACACACACAGAATCATAGAATCCTTTA